GAAAGAAAGAAAGAAAGAAAGAAAGAAAGAAAGAAAGAAAGAAAGAAAGAAAGAAAGAAAGAAAGAAAGAAAGAAAGACAATAAAATTGTTAATCAGGATTTTTAATATTTATTTAATATTTATTATTAAACAACAAAAGATCATATTCCAGATGTAGCTGCAGGTCCTCAAGTCCTTTTGTGGGTCTGCAGGTCTCTTGGTGTCAGGTTGGGATGAGATCAGAAACAGCTGGATTAACTCAACGCTGCACTTCCCCTTTCTGGACGCTAGGTGGAGACAAACACTCTTTAGTAAAGCAGGCAGTTCAGGTGGAGCCCTGTTTCTCTTACAATCATGTGTCTCAAAGTTTCAGATGAAACTTTACAATCTCCCAAAGAGCATGAGGATGGTCAGAGACATTGGAGGGAAACTCCAGAACTTCATCGCTTCACATATTTCAACATATTTGACTTAATCGAGTCCACCTTTTGCTGCATCAGGAATGAAAAGAATAAAAAGCAACAAACTCATCATGTATGAAGGTAGAAATGACCACAGGTGGAGTTTCACCTAAACAGAGGTTAGACTTTAAAGACCTTTAAAGACCAGACTGACGGCTTAATCAGAAAGAACCAGGTTTTTTTAAATTCTATAATGGTTCTTCCTGTTTTTAAAGACTTGCATGAATATTTACATGAAAGTCAGTCCATCAGACTGGGACGTAGGTAATTTGACTGTTATGTAATAGATGAACATAAATATGACCTATGTCCTTGGAGGTATCAGTTAAAGAGGTGAAACATAAACTCACACACCGCACTTTTCAGATTGTTTTCACTGTTTTCTAGAAGAAAGACGCCTCGCCTGTTTTTACATCGATCTTCCTTTTATTGCTGGTAAAGTTAATCAGTCTTTTAGAGTTCCAAATAAATTCACAATCAATCCACTGGACTTTGTTTCCAAGTTTGAAGACGTTTCTCTTCCATCCAGGAAGCTTTTTCAATTCAAAAAGTCAAAAATAGCGTTTAGTTCCAGGGTTTATAGGGTGGACCAAAAACAAATCCTTGTTTTTCTTTAGAAAACAGGCAAATTAAAACGGAAAAATGGGTCCACCATTTTGGAATGGGGTTCAATTGGCTTCTTTGTTAGCCTGCAATGCCCCATACCTGTCTATGTCTCTGAAAGGGGGGGTAGTTAAAGTGAATTCTTGCCCTGGCTGAATAGAAGAGGTCTTCTGTTCCCCTGTAAGGTTGGTTTTTCTTTCTTAACATAGATGCTTCCTTCACACTCCTCTCAAACCATCTGTCTTCTTTGTCCAAAATGTGAACATTCTGGTCCTTTGTCCATCAGGTGTACATGAACCGCAGAGTCTTGTCCAGAGGAGGGCACTGTGGAGAGGTTGTTTGGTTTCTCCAATATAAAGATCAGAGCATTCCTCGCTGCACTGAACTGCAGACTAGCCTGGTGAGACCATCCTGATCTCGCGAGCTTTCAAGGTTTCACTCGCAGATCAGTCTGGAGACTCTCCGTTAACGAA